AAAATATTTTTGTACATGTATATAGTTTGATTTTAATAGCTTATTCTGAAGTAAGGTTTTAATTATTTCTGCCGATATTGGAATACTAATTTTATAAGACAAATCATACTAAAATTAACGAATCGAATTTAAATCAATCTCTGAAATAAAAAGCTATTATGTTGATCGATTTAAAAGGACATTCTTGATTTCTAAAAACAGGAATAGTTTTAAGTACTTTAGTATTTGTAGGTGGATTTTATTAGTTATTTATAACTTGAAACTCTCGACTTGCAGCAAAGGACACGCAACGCTTTATCTTGAAGCAGGAACAGCGGCAGACCTCTCTGATGGAGGCGTGTCCACCGCCTCCCAGCGATTGTTTGGAGACCAACAACAACTACAGCAGCAGCAGCAACAACATCACAATGGGCCAAAGTGTCCAAATCCTGAGCGACGAAGATCAGAGATGTGTGCAGATGGGCCAACCGCTGCCCAGATATCATGCCTGTGTTTTGTATGCAGAGGCAGACATCGATCATGCCACCGAGATCATGAATAATCTAGAGTCTGAGCGATACAATCTCAGGGTGAGTGCGATCTCCTGGGCGTTGTGTCTTCTGTGGTATAATTATGGAACATTTGCCCACAGCTCTTCCTGCGCCATCGCGACATGCTAATGGGCGTTCCCTTCGAGCATGTCCAACTCTCCCACTTCATGGCTACCCGCTGTAACAAACTAATCGTCGTGCTCACGGAGGAGTTTCTTCGGAGTCCAGAGAACACGTACCTCGTGAACTTCACCCAGAAGATACAAATCGGTAAGTGGCTGCTGTTCAGTTTTTTGACCCGGGATCAAGTTAAATAACATGTTCCTCCCAATTGCTATTTCGCAGAGAATCACAGTCGCAAGATCATACCGATTCTATACAAGCCGGACATGCACATACCGCTGACCCTGGGAATCTATACGCACATCAAGTACGCCGGGGACTGCAAGTTGTTCAACTTTTGGGACAAGTTGGCTCGTTCGCTGCATGATCTGGATACCTTATCTATCTACTCCACGCGCCAGGCTCAGACGTAAGTTTTTCATTTATTTTTTTTCGGTGGTTGAAATCTCAACCTGGTTGCAGAATAAGTTATAAATCACTAGGGTAAAAAGTAATCTTTAGATAATTCCATCAAGTTGACCTTCTTAAAGATAAAAATGGTTTACCTACTTTTAATATAAATGGAAGTAAATTAAAGTGAATATCCAAAAGTCCAAATAATTATTAGGTACATTTTTATTACATTTTCGTGTGCAATTATATAATTGGCTGCTGCAAGTTTTAGGGGCTGCGAAAGCTATCTCATAAAATTCTCAAATGTATACCAGCTGCTTGTAAACAAAATATAAAAGCAAAAACCAAATAGCGTGTGAGCTATCAACCTTAGAAATGGCTAGAAAGAATTTTTAGTCGATTTTATGTTTTAGAAGAATACATTTGAGTTCTCCTGTTTAGTTGCTTTTTAGGTATGAGTGATTATTTACTTGTAGAGTAAATGCAAAACTGAAATTTATTATATTTGAGTATTAAAAAAAACCAAATTAGCATGAAATATAAAAATAAAAATAAATACTAAAGTAAGATTGCTTTCCGCCTCTAAAACAATGTATTTCCTCAAAGCGGATTGACTCACCCTACCGAAACTCCCCTTAGTCATCAGTAATACTCACCATTATCTTCTCACAGACCTTCGCCGGTGGAGGAGACGGCTCCCCAGCGGGTGACCACACCCAGCATCCGGATTCAGATCAACGACAAGGATGTAACCGATATGCCCAGCTACAACAACTACAAAGTGCCGGAAGCGGAGACCACAATGGTATCGATGTCCGGCGATACCAGTTCACCCCTGCCGGAACCCAAACCGAAGAAGAAGGATCGATTCCTGCGCAAGTTCACCCACAGCTTTGGGAAGACGCCGCGAAGCGATGGCAAGGATGCGAAGACCCTGCGACACGCCCACTCCGTCAGCACCATCAATGTGACGGAGCGGGAAAGGACACTGAGTGCCAGCAGCTCCAATATCTCGACCACGTCGGAGAGCAAGAAGAGCTCCATCAAGTGGCAGCCGAATATCCTGAAGAAGGTCCTATTCTCCCGCTCCAGCAGCAAGTTGCAGACACCGGGTTGAGATCGTAATGTTAGGATAGCCATTCATTCGATTCCTTAATTCCTTGTCCAGTCTAGTTACGGCGGTAGAGTCGCCAATGTCGTCACCCTCCATGCTTAGTGATAATCCTTAGCCTAATCCTTATCAAAGTCAACTAACTTAATATACTTAGACGCACTTGTTAACTTATATAAGACAACAACGAATAAAGACAATACCACATATCTGCACGAATGTATCACAAAGCACACCGACGACCGAATACGATACGAAATGCTATATATACTATACTATATATATGCCGCATACGACTGTAGGATTTGATAAACAGACAAATTGGCAATTGCGTTGGGTGAGGTTAAATGCGCGACGACACACTGCTAATCGAAGCGCTCAATTAACTGTTAGTCACGCGTTCGATAAGTGACTTACTTAATTAAATTATCTCTGTGGCTCTGTACTCGCAACTCAGAACCCCGCGCAATAAGTGCCCCATCTCGGATGAGTAATGACCATATATAAACTATAGGTATACGAATACGTATACGTATTATTGCATTATGCGAGCAGCAGTGCTTTATCACTCTGTAAATTGCTCAAGCAGTTCTAACCGATTGCTAGCAATAAGTAATTGTTTGTTTTTGGGTACCGCCTTGGGCCGGTTCTCCATTGTGATTAGCTTTAACTGTTACCGATTGTTACTGATTGCTGTGAATGCGTGTCCATATATAGTACGACCGATGTGCACTTGACTACACACATAATACAAAGTAAAGCAAAGATTATCAATACAATAGTATAGGTGTATTCATATGAAACAACTTTGTGAATTAAATTTCTTAGCTATTAGTATGTACACACCTCCAGACAGTAAGTTTTAAAACAATAAAAGGTCGACAACCATATTATGTTAAAGCATTAGACAAAAACGCCTCAATGTCGGGCATCGATCGCTAGAACTTTGACCTTCATGTATGCTTTTGAAACGCAACGTAACCGTTTAGGAAACGAGCCAGCTCCATTTTAGCGGCAATAAACTTTTCAATGTTTGGCTCAATAATTTATTGTTGAATGTAGACAACCTTTAGTTCGTTCATGTTTAATAAACATTACGGTTGATTTGTGGATCCCCCGTACATATTTATATACAATTTTTCGCATACGTATTGAGTGGAGATGTTTATCGACCAGTTCCGGTTAATCTATAAGACATTTCGAATCGGTTTAAATTTTTTGTATTTTTTTGTTTTATTTATTTTCTGTTTTTTATTGTTTAAATCGTTTAATGTTTTAATAATAGCTCCTCGCTCACATTCCTCACATCGTCTCTTTCTGCGTTTAATTTCGCTCTCTGTGTGTTACAATTTACACTGTGAACAAATTTGTTTTTTTTTTTTGTTTTTTTTTTAGCCTTACTGCTCCTTGCAACTTGAGCTTGTTCTTTAAACTTTGGTTTTTTTGTTGTTTTGTTTTTACTTTTTAATTGAATTTATGTTATGTTTCTTTTTTTTGTTTGGTTGTTTCTCTGCTCAATGTTGGTTTTATGTGAGTGTGTGTATTTATATATCGATTTATATATGTTATTAATTTTAATCTGTCGTTTGTTATCCGCTTAGCTTTGTTTTCCTTTGTTAGAGTTATTTTAATGATTTCATTATCGTTTAACAAAATTAATAAAAACAGTTTGTAATTTGTTTGCTCTTTGTTGTATGTATACGTTAATTGATCAATTTATTCGTAATTCGCAATATTAAAACAATGTAACGCATGATGTTGCATCTTCTGCCTCGACTCGCGCTCTATGAGTATTATTTGCAAATTGTTTCGTAGCTTAATTAATGCCTTTCTTTTGGGGATGTCTTACATTCGTTTCGACTTGTTATTCATCTTATAAATCTAACTGATTGCATTTACACAGAGTGTGTGACGACGAGTCTGAGTGGAGGGGGCGGGGCAGGGTAGGGCAGGGCAGGACCTTGAAATTGGAACTGGAAGTGGGAATTGGATTGGTCTTGGACTCAATTTGGGATCGGGATCGAACGGAACGTAACTAACTCAACCGGAACTAAGGTTCGTGTGTCTGTTTGTTCTTTTAAAGCGTTATCCTCTATAGTTAAGTGTTAACAATGATTATGATTATGGAAGTCAGCTGAAGAAGTCTGTATCGGTTTGGAAGTTGAGTTATCATCGTATTGCGAGTTCCCGTCTTATAACTATGTAATGCTTGTTGAGTACGCATAGGTATTTCCGTATTACCATCCTCAATCTCTATAACTCGACTCCCCTCCCTCACACTCCGTCATTTAATCATACATACATACACATGGAGATATTTTCATCGTCGTGTTTTGGGTCGCTTGCCGTTCTCGACTTACTAATAAATTAAAACAACGCTAATGAATTTGTTTTTCGCCTCGCTAATTGTGAATTCTCGTTTAACGTTCGTCTTCATCGCTTTGCTCCTCTCTTTTCTAACTTTTCGTTTATTATCGTTATCAATCAATTATCAATTTCAATTTTCATTTATACATACTAGGTTTTCATTAAATTTTCTCGCTTCAATGCTTAATTTGTGCCTTGGACAAACGCCTGTTAAAAATCGCTTTCTTTTTTTATCGCTTTTCATTTCCGTATTACATTAAACTTAGTTTTTATAGAGCGGAATTTTGTTGTGGTTGATCTCGGCATTGTTTAAGTATTTGGCCATTTCGATTGCTACTCGAGTTGACATAAAATCTGATGGATCAGCGGAAGTTTTTAAATCAAATCTGCCCATGTATTTGGTGCAGTACAAAGTGACTAGCAACGTAGACCAGCTACAGTTGCTAGTAAATTTCTAAACAAAAGTGTACTTAAAATTAAGAAAACAATTTCTTTACAATTTATTGAGTAAAATAGCAATGAATATAAAATTTAGATTAAGAATCGTCAACCCTTGAATTATTGATAATATTAGAACACATAATTGAACTTTTATTAAAATAAAATATTGAGATTTAGATGGTAAAATTCAACCATTGTTGTTCTATGTATTATCGTAAAATGAAAACCAAAGAAGTTTCTTATCTTTTCTATCTGAGTTAAAAAAAATGTAGTTTTTCAGTATATAATTAGCCATATTCTGAACAAATTTTGAAAAACTTTGATCCTAGTTTGGAAAATTCCTTAAAAATAATTTATTTTGGAAGATCATTTTTAAACTTTCTGAGTCATTGCCAAGAATCCTACAACGTCCGACCCTCTCCATTTACCCCGATTTTTTATACCCGTATGGAACAGTCATAGTTCTGGAAGTTGAAAGCCTAACCCAACGGATGCAGATGCAGATACAGATGCGAATGCTAATGGCGATGTTGGCAGTGTTTTCGCTTTTACGCATTATTTCAAATTCAATTACATTTTCGATTGCGATCGTGTGATGTCTTCTGACAGATACTCCCAATGGATCTACGGCTGATTTTGGAGGCCATGCGGGGGCGATCTATGTATATCTACTACACATATTTTTTAGTCTGTTTGTCAGGCATTTTGCGAGCATCGAGCATCTTGCTTATTGTTTCTATTCTCTGTGTTTAATTTTAACATTGTGCGCGATTTTGTTGAACGTTTGACAACACTACAAATAACGGCAGTTTTACATGCTGATGCGGATGATTCGTCATGGAATTCTTTATATCGGGAGGAGAAATGCAACATTAATAAATAATAGGCCTCAAACAGAGTGTTACGCTGTCCAGGAACTATACAAATAGTGGGGGGATTGGGTTGGAAAAGCAATTGAGGAACTCACTACATAGGAAACGAGAGACCGACTGAAATACAGTTAGACCCCGTCATCTTTTGCTTTGTGGCAACAACAATTTATAGTCTCTGTTATCTATATCTCTTTCACAACTTATAGTCTTTGGGTTTAGATTAGATTTCCTGACTCGAGTGGCAGTCTGTGTTTGGGGCTATCCAACTAAATAAGGCTATTTTGGCACACAATCACAACGGAATACGAAACATCTATTGTACAACAACGATAACAACACAAGGATGGGTGGTTCTGAGGATTTTTAGGGTTTGCAACTGATCTGGGTGGTGAATATTTTGGGAGTTTGAATTTAAACTTGAGATTCCTAAAGCTTGTTGTAAATGGTGAAGTGATTGCACCATTTGGTGTCCAATGATTCAACCGTGTTATATATGGTTCAAGCCAGCAGCTGCACCGTTTACAACCCGCTTTACTCCTTCATTTAATGTCGGTCCCCGTCTTTGAGAATTCTGGCTAAATGCTACAAAAAACTGCGTTTACATGATTCGCGCTTGTTGCTGGTGTTTTGGGCATGGGTGTGTGTTTCTGGATGTGTGGCTGCTTTGCTTTCGCCTTTTTTTTATAATTCACGTTTATGCTTACTTCACTATTGTACAATGTGCGATTTGCATTATTATATTCTTGTAATTATTTTATATAAGTATATATGTATATATGTATGCATGTTGGTGTGTGTGTGTGTGTGTGTGTGTGTGTGAGATTGTGTTCGTGTGTTGAGCTGCTGGGCTACTCCTATTTTTGGTTTTATCATTTTTTCGTTTTTTTGTTTCTGTAAAATGCGCTAGTTTATTGATACCTTCCGTGGCGCCCAACGTGGGACATTCGTGAACCTGTGGGTTTGCCCGTCTGACTGCCCGCCATTGGCACTCTAAATTCTGTCCTCCTCGTCCTCCTCCTCCTCTTCCTCGACCTCCTCACCGTTCTCCTCCAGCTCCTCCTTGTAGCCGGGATGCTCGGAGATGGCATAGTAGTTGCCATTGTAGATGACGCCCAGTTCGCGCAACGCATCGCCACGTATTGTCGCCTTTATCGTCCAGTTGTAGCAATCGTCCGACTCGGACTCGCGATCCAATCGCTCCACGTCGAGAATCTTGGAATTGAGGCGCTCCAGTATGATGCCGATGTCCTTGATGCTGAGGTGACGCTTCTGGTCCACCGACAGCTGGTCGATCAGCAGCAGAAACTTCTCCGTCGTCGTCTTGTCGTCCTCCATCACCGTGTTCTCCGTTTCGCTCTCGGAACTGTCCCGCTCCGGGGCAATGTCCAGGAATCGCACATGGCCCTTGGCGCCCGACGAGCGGCGCTGCATGCTGCCGCTTCCGCCGCCGCCGCCGCTGCCACTTCCGCCGAGCATAGGATCCATAACCGATGGTGCCGACTGCGGCTGGGGACTGCTGCTCCCGTCCTGGATGGGCGAAGTGGCCACGCTCTTGTGCACCGCGATCTTGCGCCCCTCCTCGTGCAGCGCACAGCAGTGGAAGTCGCACTCGGTGGTGCTGGGACTGCCAGCCCTGCTGGGCGTGTGGGCATGGTGGGCGCACTCGGGCGTATGCACATGGACCGCTCCAACGCCCACGCCCACGGTGCTGTCGAAGGAGCTGCCCTGCTTGGACAGTCGCCTGCTGCCGCCGGGTATCACAACTCCTGGCGGCAGGACAACGCCACCGGGATGGTATATGCTCGCCGGTCCGTCATCGCTGATCACCGTTATTTGGGGGCTGGCATAGCGCGGCTGGGAGGACTGCGACGACACCGACTTGTTGTCCAGCGAACTCTGCGCGGAGAGGCCCTTCTTCGAGGGCGAGTACTTGTCGGACGACAGCAGCCCATTGCTGCTGCCCAGGCCGGAGCACATGCTCCCCACTCCGACGCCGGCGCCACCGCTGCTGCCTCCGCCGCCGCCGCCGCCGCTTCCTCCACCCTGCCGCTGATCCCAGTGCAGAACGACCGTGACACGCCCTTTGTTGTCCATGATCTTCCACGACGGTGTCTCATCGTGCAGCTCCAGCGCATGGATCGTCTCACAGACGATTTTCGGTATAGCTGATATGGCTGTAAGAGAAATGGAGTTCAGTTTTGATAGATCAAATAACGTTAAGAGCCAATTCTCAATAGAAATCTAGAAATTTATAGATCTATTAGACAACTTACTCGTTCAATCTTTATAAAGAATAACTTTATAGTTAGCATTTCCTTATGGATTCATTTTTTTTTTTTGTTCTCAAGCAAGTTTTTTCAAAATTAACCAAAATTGGAAAACAAAACTAGATTTGACTGTGCCTTAAATGTAAGAATGGAATATTCCAACATTGATATACCCTTAATTTACCTATAAACACTTTTGTTTGCAATTAAATGAAAACAATATTCTGAAGGGATTCGCATTAACAGCACACTGCAATACATTGTTGTTTAGATCTATTTTTGGCACAAGCGAAAATGTGTTTTGAAGCAAGGGTAAAAATCGAATTGTTTATATTTCTGTTGTTTTAAAATTGAATAACGTATACAATCTATGACGACTTAAAACTAATTGGTAAACAATAGGCATTTAAATAGAATGTTTAAACGCCATTAATTTAAATTTTTGTTAAAAGCAAAACCCATTAATTAACATTTGGCTGGCTACTGAGTAAATTTCCCAAAGCTAAAATAAAATACAAATTTAGAATTTATCATGTATAAATGTGTGTAGATTTGATACTGCAATACTATCTATCATAAAATAAAGAATATATTGTTCCTATTTAGGATAAAATAAAATACTTCAACATCCCTTTAAAGTGCGAAAGTTATTAGTTCCTATTTAACTACTCGTTTTCCAAACCATTTAAATGCTGATCTTATTAGTAATAAATACAAAACACAACACATAAGTAATTCCAAATGGATCCATCCTTGATGGATATTTCCCGGGGGCAGTAGTAAACTGAACTAAAGGATGGATAGAGTAAAGTTCGACCCACCAGCCTTTATGACATCGACGCCAGTGGGATACCAGCGCTCGCCCTGCCTCAACAGCAACAGCACCGTATTGTTGGCCAGGGTGCGAAAGTATTCGCCATCCTCGATTTGGGTTCCATCACACTCCAGAACGACGCGCACCGGTTCTGAAGCAGGAACCCCCAGCTTATCCTTGCCGCGGACCAAGAGCTCCTCGAAGGTCCCAACTACGACGCCCTTGCGCACATTCCGCCAGCTGTCCCAGATTTTCAGTGGTCTCTTGCCGCGAGACTCCTGCGAAGAGAAATTTGGATTAGTTGGGTATTACGAATTACACTTGCAACTGCTGGCGTGGGGAAAGTGAAGGGTGAGCTGTGAGATGTGGGGGGGGATGGAGGATGGAGGATGCAGGATGCAGGATGGGCGTGACACCTGTGAAACGCTGCGCACGGAAAACTGACAAGTGGGTGTGGCAGCAGGCCCGGGCTGTGTCATAATTTCCTCAGTCCGCTAATTGGCTTGCTTTTAAAAGGGCGCAAATGTCAAGGCCACAACGGCTGCAGCTCAAAATTAATGTACACAATATTAAACAAAATTGGTAACCTTACTTAACAGCCCAAATTAGATTTGAAGAGAAAGGAAAAAAAAATTCTTATATTTCAAAAAGAAAAAGAATGAAAATTTAAATGAAGCAAAGAAAAGTGAAAACGTATCCTTTTGGCTAACAGCGCTCACAGCTGTTGGCTAACAGTTGCAGGCAACAACAACAACGGCCAGCCGAGCAGGACGAAAGCTGCAATGTTTAATGTATTGCAAGGACATGAGTGTGGCGCTCCAGTGACCCAGTAACGAGTGCAGCACACGAGCCAAATACAAATATCTCTCTTCGGAAAAGCAGTTCCCCCATTTTCCCCATTTCCCCATTCCTCCCTCCCACTCGTCCAAAATAAAATGTTTGAAAAATTACAAAAAATTCATGTTGACATTTTGCTTATTCCTCCACACCGAAAACAAGCAGAAAACTTTTCATAAAAATATTTCATTTCGTTCGCTCTGTTTTGTGTGCTCCCCTCCTCGCTCTCGTTTTATTTCTTTTTTTTTTTCTTTGGGATAGGTCAGTTGCTGCGCCCCAGCGCCATATGGCATTCTAGGGGGCCAAAGGGGAGATGCTTTGGTTGGCCATTATAAATTCTGAAACTAATAAGTGTATAAACAGCTAGGGAAGGTGCAAAAAACCAGAAATCACAGCGGTTTGCTTAGCTATAGGTATACTATTATAAATAAACATATATTTAAGGATTAAGAGAATTAACTCTGATTATTATTTTATTTTGTTTTCAATTCTTAGTAACATAAATTAAAATTATCCGAAGATAAGCAAAACCATTTATTTTTGTAGTTCAACTTTATAATTTCAATTTTAATAACTTCAAAAGGTAATAATCTTGTTTTGTGGGTAAGAATATATAACGATTGGGAAAATGGGCATTTAAATTCGCAATAAAACAGTAGAAGCAATATAAACAACAATTATGTATTTTTTTTTCAAAAATTAAATTAAACTTAATCTACAAGGTAGTAAAAAAGATGCCACTATTTTTAAATAATAATAAAATTCGATAAAATGAAATAAAAATTAAATTATGAAATGGATTTAGCTTTATTTTTTGTTCATAGTAAAATGTTTAACGTTCAAGCATGTTATGCCACCCAACAGCTAAATAAAAAGCAGTGGAATGGATGCATGATGTTTCACATTCATTACAAAGCGGGACCATTACCATTGTGGACAGTCCGCCGTTTGTGGCCGAGGAGGGTCCCGTTGTGATGGCCCCACCACCCACTCCGCCCCCACCCGCAGCTGCGGCAGAGGCAGCAACGCCCTGCGTGGCCTGGGCCGCCGCCGCAGCTGCGGCTGCCACTTGTCTGATGCTCAGACAGTTGCAGAGCGGCTTCGTCACGCCCAGCGTGCACAGGGCGTTGGACCACATGGTGGTGCTGGTGGTGCTGTTGGTGGTGCTGCTGCTGCCAGCCACTTTTAGGCCGAATCTGCGCTGCTGGCTTGCAATAGTGGGCTCTGTCGCTCCCAAGGTCGTCTCACACTTGGAGCACCAAGCTCCAGTAATCCATGCCCGCCTAAAAATCCGTTATATAAACCTGTACGGGCTAGTACGCTTTATAAAATCCGTTTTCGGACACTTTTACTAAAAGTTCTACAAAAATTAAAGCTTATTGCTTATTGTTTGACTGTTAAATGCCTTGCGTTCTGGGGGGAAAATTCGTTATTACAAAAATTGTTAGGGAGTCACGAAAAAAAAACGCACTTTGCACAAAAGGTTTGTTTCTGGTAAAAAGGGTTTGTTCCGTCACTTTCCACTTAAATTTGCTTTCTTAAGTTTTGTTGTAAAATACTTGCAGAGCAGATGTGCCTCGAATTTCGCTTTTCACTGTTCGTATTTCGCATTTGTATTCGTATTTTTGGGGCAGGTCAGGGCGGGTTGACCTTCGCACTTTCACTTTACGGATACTACGCGCCTGCAGCAGCGCCCCTTTTGCCCGTGAAACCGCCGAGTTATCGTTTTCATTTGACACTGCCTTAGACACTGTCTTAGACTTAAAAATCTATATTATTTTTTAAAAAGTTTTATTGTAGAAAAGCGCTGGATTTGTTTTTAGTCCACACCCAGTTGAAACGTGGTGTTACCACGGACAAAAGCTAAAAGTGGCAGCAGCCTTTTCTTTAGCTGCCTGTGTGCCTGGCAGCCTGGCAGAGCAAACTGTGAGTTTTTCCCGATGCTGCATCGGATTTCACTACGTTTGCTTCTTCGACTTTTTGGGGCTGGGTGCGTTTTTGCAGCGCTTTAACAGCGTTTGAAAAGAGCACGAGACATAAACCCGAGAGAAGTGCAGTGAGAACGAGGTGAAATGCAGCGCAAAGCTTTGTGGGTGCGACAAGGACAGGCCAAATGAGGAAAACAACCGTTACTACAATCTAGTTTATTTAAACCCTTTTTAATATGATATTAGTTTTACATCTCTCACTCTATCTCATTTATTTCTAAACCCTTTATTTTATCCATTTTAAAAGCCAACAATATTTGACAGTGCTTTGGCCTACATTTGCATCAATGTGATATAATCAGGGCGCTAAGGCGCGCGCACCTTCTCCCGCAAAACGCTCCACAAGTATTCCCCAGGATCACAAGCGTTTGATTTTGTAAATATTTACACCCAATCAAAGCCGATCAATTAACAGTTACTATTGGATTGTTTGTCTTTGGAAAATAGAGAGCTTTTTGGGGGTATAAGCAGTGTTACATTTAAATTGCAACATTAAGCGTTCAGGTCTTTTAATAAAGAAAAGAGAATAGAGAGAGATGCAGTTTTATATGCAGTTCTCTCCTTCTCCGTCTCTCAAAAGCATTGCCAGCTGAAAATGTTAAAAGGATAACAGAGTTCGAAAATAACTGTAACTGCTGTTGGCCGAGATTTTTAATTGCAGCAAGAAGCAGAGATAATTGCGTTTTGTTTATGCTAAATAAAGCTAGATCAACTGCCAACTAAAAGCCATCTCGGTTGCATTTTTAGCAAAGTTTTAAGGAATTCCTAATCTTTTGGAATTTGCAACTAATTTTGGGAGACAAGCAGCTCTCAAAGCAACAATTTTGGAAAAGGCAGAGAGAAAAATGCCTTTCACGGGGGGCAGGGGGTGGATGGCGAAAGAAAAGAGTAAGAAGAAGAACAACAACAGTTGCAGCTGCACGTGAGATGGGGGCTGGAGTGGGGTAAGAGGGCGTTGGGGGAGTGGCACATCTGTGAGGCGTAAGTATTACCTCAGTTATTTGGGTCAAAGCTATTCACTCACCCGCAAAGCAAAACGAAACGAAGGAACTGCATAAAACATGCACAAACACACACACATACATGCAGAGCAGAAGCTTGGGGGACACGCACACAAAGAGACTAATGCGGGCCACAGGCTTAATAGGTTCCTCTAGCGGATGCGGATGCGGACGTGAATGCGGAGTATCCGCAGCGAAACGCCTTGGTTGATACACTCACAAAAGGTTGTCTTATGAAAAATTCATACACACCGCAGAGCTCCCATGGTTTAAACCTGGCTTGCTTAGCCCCGTAGTTCTCTTATTAAATTTACAGTAGACACTTCAATGTTTGTACCTCTGGAGTTCTATTGTATTTTAATACTAATAATATTTTAAATTAAATTTTTAATCAATTTTGATACGTCTGCGTAAGTTTATTAGTTAAATATTAACATATCCAAATCTTTCGGATGGCGATACAATAAAAGCCACTGAATGTTACTTTATTCAAAACAAAAGTGAGCAACACAAAACAAACCGAATCTTTACCATCAAATTTAAATTTAAGTTAAATTTGAAAATTAAAAAGTATTACAGAAACTTATTCCCGAAAAATACTTCATTACAATACTGAATTAAAATTAAACATGTGAGTACTGCGAATGGTGGTATGCTAAAAAATTAAAGTCCTTGATCTTGATTATAACTTGATTAGCAGTCAACGTGGCTGATGAGGGCTATTAAGTATACAGTACCCAAGTAGGCATTGTTTAAAAAATAAGAAAACTGGATAAAATATATTTATTTTAAACTACAAGATCAAAATTTTTTCGCACATGGCAATTGGGAATATCTTTAATTCACCACGATAAACTTAAAGAATGTCGACTGTATGCCTTATGTTCTTTGAAGAGCAGATATGAGTTAGCCTTTTTAATGTCCCATGTTCATAAAAGAGGTTTTCAAAATGAATACGAGGGATGATTACGAGGAATGGTTATCAGTTAAAAACAGCTGATTTTGATTAATTTTTGATACGCTCGCGATCGGGAATATGAACCGTTAAGCCATAGTTGCCGGCTTTGCTTTTAGTACGTTTGCACTTACCTCTCTGGCCATTACGACATGTTCTCACCAGCGGCGCCCGCTTAGAGGGTCTGCCATTTGCTCAGCGGCAACAACAACAACAGCAGCGCCTCAGAGAGAAAGGAAGTGGGAGAACCAACAACAAAGCTCACGCTTTTCGCGAATGTAGGTGTGTGTGTCTGTGTGTGTAGGCGGCAAACGGAATAAGCAGAGCGACAGAGAGGGAAAGAGTGTGGGAGGTGTGAGTGCGTATGAGCGTTTCAAAAATTCTCTACTACACGTTTATTTTCAATTTTCTCTTCCCGCACATTTCTCCAACGCGCCGATGCTGCTTCTTCTTCTTCTTCTTCTTACTTTTCTATCCTCTCCTCTCCACTCCTTTCCTTTTCTTTTCTTTCCTTCTCTCCCTGCGTGGGAATGCGAGTGTGTGTGCGTGTATAGGTGTGTATTGGAATTAGCCAAGGTATAAGTTTAAGCCAGCTTGCATTTGTTTAAACTTTTGGCAGACATCACTATTTGAAAATTTGCATAGTAATTTCTCTCTACCTACGCCCACTTTTAAAGGTGCGGCTGTTGGTCAGGATTCGCTAATGGCAGTAGTAGTTGTGTGCGGTGTGTCTGTGTGCGTGCGAGAGAGCGCATTGGAGTACCGTTATCGCTGGCGGAGCCACATTTTCCTATTTGACATACACTTTTTTGTTGCGATTTTTGCAAAATTTTGCGGCACACGCGTTTTGTTTTTTTTTCTTTCTTTTAATCAAATTAAAATTTCTTTCGTTTCTTTAATAGCTTTCGTTTTACCGTTTTTTTTCTTATCGGTTGGTATGCATGGAACACACGCCTTTTGCTTCACATACGCTCTAGTCTTTGGCAGTTGTTCAATTGTTCGAGTTAAGTTCGTTTGACCAATGGGATTTCTTAACGTTGCGACTTTTTAGTTTTTTTCGGTGCAAAAACAATAACATTTAATTCATTTTAAGCCGAGAACAAATCGCGAATCAATTTTTATTTTCGGCAGGTGGAAACATCGAATCGATGTCATCGATGTTTTCAAAACATCGGCTACAACGATGATTTAACATATCGTTAGCTTTGACTAGTGGTATTTTTGTAACATACTTTTGGGTGCTGAAAGTTAGAGACACTGGAGTATACTAAATGGAACTGCCAACTTGATTTAAGGAAGATTTACGTTGAGTTCACAATCGTTTCTCACAATTGTTGATTTTATTTTCATTTAATTGTTATATATTAAGGCAGTACACCAGTCAACAAATAATTTTAAGTTTGTTGAACAAAGTTTAGCTTCTTGGGGAGTTTCTGATATATATTAAGATATATAATTTATTTAAAATATGTTATAAATGGGAGCTCGAAAATAGCGGGCTTTTACAATTTTAACATAACAAGATTTTAAATAAATAGTCTGGGTTTTTGAATTACTGAAAATGCAGCAAAAATATACTAATTGAAATTAAATTTCAAAAATACCAAATATCATGATTTGGTATTTTGGGTAAACTAAGCAGCCACACTGTGTGCATCGTTTCGTCCAGATTTTACAACGCCAACATAAAAACCCAAATAATTTAACAAAATACGAGTAAACCAAAGCCAAACTTGACTTGAAATGGACGAAATACGGAGCAGCATGGACAATATAATGGCGATTTTCAACGACAGCATAACTCACTCGGCGCCAAAGAAACTGGTCTTTAACCGGCTTTCGACTTCCTTTGGCGACGACTTTGTGGCTTGTAAGTATTTCTTAATGCTTAAGAAGAAGAAAGCACTCAAAAACTACTGAATATCTTTTCTGGCAGCGCCCAAGAAGCGTCGCCTGGAGCAAGAAACGCCGGATCGCAGTCTGAACACCAGTGCCGCGTCCCTCAATGGTTCCTCCACCGATCCCTTGAGTTCCTGGCAGACCCACAAATTGCGCGCCGAGCTGGTCGAAACCAAGGCAAAAGTCATCCAGCTGCGCAACGAAATCGATCAGCAGAATCGGGAATACCGGCAGGCCTTGATGCTGGCCGAGAACAAGAGCGCCGCCCTGAAGGATCAGTGTGATTCCACCAGCAAGAGGTACTCGGAGCTGCAGAAGGAGCAGCTCACGCTGCGTAAGCGTGAATTGGCCCTCAAGGATGAGGCCAGACGGGCCACCTCCGAATTGGCCCAACTGAAGTTGAAGTACGAAGAGGTCGTGGGCAACCTGCAGAAGGAGAAGTACCTGCAGCAGGAGGATGCGCGCGATGTCCAGTTGTGCATCAACAACGAGCTCAGCGAGTATCGCCGAATGGCCCAGCGGACTGATCTGGAACTGCAGTCGACCCGTACCGAACTGGAGCGCTTGCGCCGACGGTACGAGGAGTTCAAAGCCCGGGTTGCCGGACACGAGGAGCTGCGCGGCAACTACGAGATGCAGACGCAAAGCCTAAGGGCGGCCAACGATCGCATAAAGGAACTGCAGTTCGAGATTCAGTCGTACAACGACTGGAAGGAGATGACCAAGGCCTCGCAGGCGCGTCTGGTCAGTTTGCCGGATTTGCAGGCGGAAGTAGAGCGCCTGCGTAACCATAACAAGCATCTACACACTTTAATAGGTGACAAACTGCTGCTGGAGGAGCAGGTGCACGACTACAAGACGCGATTGGATCGGGAGGAGGGTGCGCGTGCCGAGGCTGCTTCCCTCCAGGTGAAACTGACGCATGTGGAGCAGGAGCTCAAGGAGTGGGTCAAGGTGGCCCAGGATCACTGCCTGGCCAACACTCTGGTCAGCCCGATGGCCCTGCGCTCGCGCATCGAGCAACTGCTCCAGGAGGACATCATTCACGTGGCAGAGAAGACCTCGTCCCTCTCCGACAGCAAGCATTTGCAGGTACGTTTTCTCTACTTGATCTACTCTACTTCAATCTAAATTGTACAAATTCATAGAACACGGTGCGTGATTTGGAGGCAAAGTGCGCCATCTACTTGAAGAACATTGAGGATCTGAACATCGGACTGAAACGGCACAAGAACTTCAAGGAACGATTGCAGCGCAAGCTGATCACAGTGTCCAAGGAGCGAGACTTCTACAAGCAACTGGTGGAGAACTTCGACAAGGACATGACCATGAGCAACGCCAGTGTGGCGGACATGACGCAGGACATGCAGGTGCGTTACCGCGTGGAAGTGCTCGAACGCACCGTCACCGGCTACAAGGAGATGTGTTCTACGTTGGAGCGTGAGATTCAGGCCATGCGAAATCAGGAAGTACTGGCGGAACCCGTCGGCGATGGCTACGATAGCGTTAAAAAGGAACTGGACACACTGCGGCTGGAAAACGATCGTCTGCGCCGGCGCAAAGAGGAACTGGAACTGGAGCTGATGCATCGCTGCCTGCGCGGTGACTTCAACATGAAGGACTACAAGGTGGTGCATCTGAAACAAAATCCCGCTGCCGAAGCCTATGAGTCCAGCAAGAACATGATGGAGAAGCTGCAGGCGGAGATCGAACGACTGAAGCGGCGCAACAAGAAGTTGGAGGACGACCAGGAGCAGCGACTCAATGAGACCACCAGCACGGGCGGCATGACCCTGAACTTTAAGGAGTTCAACCAACTGCGTGCGGACTTGGAGTCGGCCAACGGCAAGATGCGCAAGATGAAGGATTGCTTCAAGGCGGCCCGCGACGAGTACCGCGATGTGTGCTACATGCTTTTGGGCTACAGAATCGATCGCATTGGCGCCAACAGCAATTATCGGTGCGTCACTAATCCACAACTCTCTCTCTCTGCCTCAATTTCTAACTTAACATTTCCCATCGTGTTTGCAGCATTTCCAGCATGTTTGCCGAGGGCCCGGATGACTATCTGGACATCAGTCTCAACGAATCGAGCTGTTTGGCTCTGCTGGAATCGCCCTACTCGCAAACCTTCAATCCGCCCATTGATCAACAGCTGGCCGCCAGTAACTTTCCCGCATTCTTTTCCGCCCTTACTCTAGAACTTTTCCAAAGGGCCACTGTCACCATAAACTAGATCATCAAAATTGTAGAAATAGCTTAGTTTAGCAACGGACAAATGACTTTTTTTGTTATTCACTAATTGCTGCCCCTCTAAGTGTATCCGTGTGCGAAAATATAATATTTGTAAACTTCAATTTAACCACTAAATATGAGCCAAATACAGATTGATTTATTAATAGATAGATAATAAATTAAAGTAATGCACAATATATATTGGAATAGTACTCTGTCCACTATGTGGATGTCAGGATGTGGGCCACCTGGTCGGGCGTCCTGTGAAGCAGTTGCTCCGGCTGCTCGAATCCGTTGGCCGGATCATGGACTCGCTCGTAGATCTGCTTGTAAATGGCCACGATCACATTGAAGGAGCGCTTTTGCACCGCAGCTCGATGACTGCTGGACATGATGAGCTGCACCTGCGGCAGCAACAGCACATCGGGCAGTTCCAGAAAGGCGTCCATCTTGGACATGAAGATTTTCAGCAGGTTCGTCTCTATCTTTGACTGATTGCTCTGCAAAATAGCGTAGATGGGACCCAGGTTTAGGTTGGCCACCAGCGAGGAAGCCTGCTCGGAAGTCAGTGTGTCCAACTGGGCATCCGATTGCGCCTGCAGGCGCTCCACACGTTCGTCCATGTATTCGTAAACGGCCAGCGAACTCTGCATGTGATGCAGACAGTTCAAAAGGTACACGCCCATATCAACGGTGGGTAGATGGGCGGCACTTTCTTGCACGGACTGGAGCAGCGGATCTATCACACAGCTCACGATCTTGGTGATGTCCGCCTGGCGGCCATCAACCATGGTGGCCACCGAAAGGATCTCCTTGAGCATATTGAGCAAGCGGGCCACACTTGGCGGCGGTATGAGGTCCCTTTGTGGGGGCTCCAGAGCCAGACCCGATCCTCCAGAGGGTCGCTGCAGAACACTACGCACCTGGGCAGCCAAAGCGCCCAGATAGATCTGTTCGCTGCTCTTCTGCAGCTCCACCAGGCACTCCTCCAGGCTGCCGCCCTGCACCACCTGGCGCATTATCTGCTGGTAGAAGCGCAACAGATTGGAGATGGTGAACAGCACGATTGTGTCCTTCTCCGCCTGCAGAATCGTCTCCACACGCACCTTGAGGGGATGGCAAACGCCGTCGGCTATGTAGCCCAAGGCGTTTTGCAGCTGATCGGATATATCTGTGGTGGAAAAGGTAAGTCAGTGACTGAATCAAGAAGTCCTAACTAAACGAACCTTGCTTATCGCACTTTTTGAATAGCAACGACAAGTTCTCCTTCTCGCTGGGAATGCTCTGATGCAGCCACGCAAACATATCGCCAATATAGCGCTTGGGATCGTGGGCATGGTGCTCAATGGGCTTGGGATTGCCACCGGAACCACCTTCCGTCAAGGCCTCAATGAACTGGCGCACCAAAACAGCCCGCCTCGCGATGGCATACTCATCAATTACATATCTACAAAAAGATTAGAGTACTTGAAAGAATGGTTAAGGATAGTGCATATGGTGACCCACTTGAAGAGCACAGGGCGATCCTGCAGCCGACTCATGGCCTCCACAATCAGGGGACCAATCTCGTTGTTCTCCAAACTCCGACAGTGGTTTTGGGTCCAGCGATAGAGCCGCTCCAGAGCCCCCTCCTGGTGCAACGTCATCTCCTCCATGATGTCGAGGGCAGCAGTTTGGTAGCCACACTGCATCAGCAGCCGGCAGTCGGCGTGAATGCTTTGCACTCTGTCCAGCACCCGGAAAAAGTCCGCCACAATGGGTGCATCCTTGGCGGCGCCGTAGAGCAACTGGTGCTCCGCTCCACTCAACTGGAAACGGGCCAGGAATGCCTGGGCAATCTGCTGATGGACCTCCAAGCGATCCCTTTCCCGCTGCATGGTGTTGGTCTGCTCGATCAGATCCTTGGTGAGCGCCTTCGAGGTCTCCAGATCCGATTTCATGGTCTCCACTGACGTGGCCATCGTGTCCAGATCTTCGCACACGGCGTCCAGGGAGAGCTTCACCTCACGGAAGGCCTTCAGGAAGTTCTCGTTGATGCCCACGGATCGCTGTTCGATCTGGCTGCGCAGATTCCTGCGGTTCTGCAGGGTGTTCTCCGTGAAGAAGGTGGACAGGCCACTCAGCGCGTCCAAGGTGTCCTATGGGTATAGGGAGATTATTAGTAATTGGTATGGCTATGAAGCTTCAGGGGACTGACCTTATCCGACTCCAGGCGCGCCTCCAGGATCTTGTTGACCCGTTTCTGGATCCTGTCCTGCTCCTCCGGTTTTTCCTTCGTCGAGCTCATCTTGAATTGTTTAAGAGTGACCAGCTCAATAGCATGTAAACATATGTTTCAAAAATACTAAAACAAATAACACACAATTCTAAAAAAATTATTTATAATTAAGTTTAAATTTTATATTTAAGACAGCTTAGAAATATATAAATCAAGAAATTATAGTGAAATCACGGCAGATTAACGAAAATAAGCAAACGGAAAACAAGCTACATTGAAATGCTTAAACGGTCACATTGATTACACAGAAAAATACCAGAAATTATTTCCCTCAGCCCTGTTTTGCTGCCAAAAGAAAAATAAAAGAGTTTAGCACAACATTAAACAAATATTAAAAAGAAAACAAAGGACTCGAAGGCCCCTTAAAGCTTAAAAACAATCTCTAAAATGGCCGCACTGGCCAGCTTGACTGCCCAGTACACGGATTCCGAGAACGAAGGCGACGCCAGTCCGGATTCCCAGAATTCCACGGCGTCCCAGGTGAGTGCCAAACAAACATGTTTCAACACAACAGCGTACTAATCACCAATTACCAAATTACAGGTAATTATACCACCCAAGCGTCCCTCGCCCACGCCCACCAAACAGGATGGGGAAACGAAGCGATCCAAGGAGAAGAAAAAGAAGAGGGCTAAGAAAGTTCGAAGATTGGTGAGCTACCAGGATGACACCTTGATTTCCGACGAGGATGAGGACCGCGCAGAGCCCTCCAGCGAAGACGAGTCCAGCAGTGGCGAAGAGAGCGATAGTTCCAATTCCCAGAGCGGAGATAGTCCCAAAGCCAAGGACAAGAGCAGCACGGGAAATGGTTCCAAGGACGGGGACACCCCAATGGAGGTGGACGAGGAATCGGGAGGATTTCCGGCGGAAGAACGTAGCGCCGAGAGCTACGAAAAGGATCCCAAGTACGCCAAGTACAAGTTCCAGCTGCCACCCGAACCCAAGGGTAAACCGTCCGCGGAATTGGTGGCCAAGATCACCAAGATGTACACAAAGATGCGACAGACCAATATGGACATGAATCGCGTGATCCAGGACCGCAAGGAGTTCCGCAATCCCAGCATCTATGACAAACTGATCAGCTTCTGCGACATCAACGAGTTTGGTACCAACTATCCGCCAGAAATCTATGATCCCCTGCAGTGGGGCGAGGAATCCTACTACGAGTCCTTGGCGGCGGTCCAGAAAACGGAGATGGTGAAGAGGCAGAAGGATCGCAAGGACATGGACAAGGTGGAGCAGGCCACAGCTTTGGCCAGGAAAGTCGAGGAGGAGGCCAAAAAGCGGTAAGCATGCGATGACTGTTAGAATCTCTTTAAATTAATTGTTTATTTGATTTGATATTGCAGCAAATCCAAATGGGATCAGCCGGCGCCCTCGTCCACCGTTGTTAAGCCCACTCTTCCCGCTCTAACCACCACTGTTACGGGAACAAAAGGCACTGTCATCTCCGCTTTTGGATCCCTGCCCAAAAAGCCAGCCGTTTAGCAACATTGTAGTCTTTTATTTTAAATCATTGAAACGTGTTTGATAAGCGCTGACCAATGCGCATACAAATACAAAGTGCTTCTACTGTTTTGAATATAAAACAAATATGTTTAAGTTGAAATACTGTTTGGTCTTTGTACTATTTGCTGGCGATTGTTATGGATCTCTGGCAAGACACCGGAATTGTCCTGTGTGGGTCCTGAAAGTAAATTGGAAGACCTTGAGACCCAAGAAACAAATACTACCAAAACTGGAATTAATGGTAATTTCAAATAGAATTCTTAATACGACCGACTGAAAACAACAACAATAATCAATGTTATACATTTAAAATAAATGTTTTTTTTTACTACCACAAGTTTTAAAGTTAATATAAGTAAATTCCATACGTCATAGTAAACTACACAAATTAAAATTTAAAATTATATTTTTTATTTTCTGACTATAGAAGTTATCGATATTAGTATATTTTCAGAATTGGTTGGCGTTCTGCAACGATCTAGCTACGGTCACTCTAGTTCCATGCTCGAACATCCGTGTGTTGGGTATTTTTGCGTTTTAAATAAAAAAAACACAAACAAGCACAAGCTGTGTTTATTTATTGCATGCAGGCGGTTAACCAAAAGTTATGATTTAAAAATACTGAGTGCGTGATAGTTTATTAAGTGTCTAATTGTAAATTGAGTCAACGCAACGCACGCAACACAACAACAACCACACACCGAGAGAAAAGAGAGAAGACAACGCAGCAGCAGCAGAAGAATTTTTCGATCTGAACTGAGTGGATGTGTGTGTGAACGAGACAACCTGAGATTTGTATAAAAAGATAAAAAAGATGAAGAAGATGCCGAGTTAATTGTAAAACCCGGTGTGTGTGTGTGCGAGTGCTGAAAAAGTTTGTTTAAACAAACTTGGCCGTGCTAATAATTCAAGGTGCATTTTAATGCGGATGTGGCCATTTACACGGCAACCGGTATTTCGTCTGCCCCTTTATTTCACTTCCTTTTTTTAGCTGCGCGATCTGCTTCTTTTTGCCGCCACTTGCGCTGCATTACCCCTCCCCCTCGCACTCACTGTAAAGCTTATTTATAAACCGAATTGCAATAGCAGAACAGAACAGAAAAAGAAAAGGAAGAACCGTTCAATTGTGTTCCATTGTCTCTGGAATATGCATTTTATTTAGCAACAACAAAGGGGGAAACATGGGGAGAGCGGGGTAAGAAGAAGAGCAAACCCCATCTTTTTGTTTCGCTCGCAACAATTGCAAATGAGACGCTCTGTCTCCCTCTCTCTCACTCTATCACCTTTCGGCGCTGCCACTTGTTGGTGTGTTTGTTGTGTGTGTTTGTGTGTTGCCCTGCCCAAAACAACTGAATTCTATTCATTTTGTTGCTTTTTTCGGCCGCAGGAAATCAAATGAGAGCGCACTCGATAAAAGAGATAAAGAAAATACTGTTCGGCATCAGGTGTTAAAGTGCTAAACAATTCCAAAAAAACGCAAAAGGAAAGTAAACAAAACGTGACGCGTGTGCTTGTGAGCGGCGCCAATAAAAGCCAAAAACAACAAAACTGACACCCAAAAAGACACAGACAAGAGCAACAACATTAATAATAACCAACATCTAAAACAACAACAAGAAGCAAGGGCATTGAGTGATTCAACGCGGCGAACCAAAAAAACCATGTCGGATTCGTATTATCAGGTGAGTTTGTGTGTGTGGGTGTGCGTCTGCCGGTCAAATCGGTTGCTTAATACTTTTCATATCAGCATGTCGCCCACCCCCTCTCTTTTGTAGATTTGGGTGTGGGATCAGCGAACATTCCAACGTGAAATACAGTCCATCTCTAAAACGAATTTTAACTTTTTATCTTCTAAAAGCACACCTTAACTACGCACATAAAAACTACAATTAAATCCCAATCTGCAAATGACTAATATGTGATTGTCAGTTTTCCATTTTTGGCTAACTGAAAAGGTAACACTCATCTCCGCTTTGAGCCAATTTCTGGACTGCGTGTAAGTGCCCTCCTTTCTGCCGCACCTGTTGCGCACCGGTAGTTTCCGCTCCAGCTGACGGAAGCCACTTGTGGGTCATCCCTGGAGCTCGCATTTGTGGGCCCCCAGTGGCCAGGAATACTAACCGTGCCAATAAAAACAGCAACAAATGGCTGCAAATGACATCACTTTCGTTAGTTGGCGTGCACAAATCGCGTTCCACATTCAAATTCACATTCCGCTCGCCAAGTGGCAATTGCCTTAAGTGCGTGACCCGCAGCCTAAAAATAGATACCCAGCGGTTAATATTTTTATGAACCTTTTAATACCTATTGAGTAATTTGAACGCATTCAAAATATGTAAATTTGTTGACCCTTATATTTTTGAGATCTCAGATCACGCTCTGTTGATAGTGTTTCTTTCAGTGTAGTGCAATTACCGGCGAGGTTGCAATTAGTTGGGTGCTCGGCAATCAGTTGATTACAGGGTATTTAACTGTGCAGTTTATAAATAGAACACTCTGTCAAGTTGTTTTGGTCGATGCAACGCTGCCTTATCTCAGAAAGTGCTTATCGGTCTTTATAAGTTCTATATGCATCTTCTGTGCTTCTGTTCTTTAATCAGGAGAAGCGACAGCATCCATCACGTAGTGAATGACTCAGAGAAATCATTTAGGACTGACCCATTAAGTTAATTTCATAAACCATTCACCAAACCTTTTGTGCTATTTTCAATGGTAAATCTTTTGGAAGTGCAAACCCCATCGAAAATGTATAAGCCCAATGTAAGTCACACTCGGTGTTTAGCCAGAAAACCAGATTCCTGAAGAAGGAGCAACGGCAGCTCCTACTTACATACTTTTGCCATTTACGGCGGTGCACCTGAGAGTTAAAGACGAGACGCAATCTGCCCGCAGGTTCGCTTCTTTCAGACTGAAAACCGAAAACCGGTTTCGGTTTCGATTTGAGCCATCTTGGCGTTGTTCTATAGCTGCTCGGCAGAACAGGGTCAGCCAGTCGGCATGGAAAATAAAAAAACAACTTCAAAATCCTGGACTGTTTTATTCAACAAGTTTGCAAGGAATGACTGTGTTAAGTATGTGGTAAATCTATATTCCGAGTATTTTATTAATATTTCTATTTTCACAAATAAGACTAGTAAACAGAATGAGGTATTGTAGTTTTAGTTTATTCGTAAATGTAATGCGGAATTAAAATCAAACAAACTTTTGCAAAAGGCATTAATTATTCTCGTTTAATAACAAAAGAATGTCCTAGACTTTTGGAAAATCTAGCCTACTGTCCCTTGAGTGTTTTGAGTTTGGTTTCAAGCATTGTTGATTTGTTTAACAAATTTGCAATGGGCAAAAGGCCTCGACAAACACACTTGCCATGCATGCGGAATGTTAGGCAAACAGTTTGTGTGGAATGGCGGTTATCCCATCAAGTGTCACGTGTCCCTGCCTCTCAGCCTTACCTTCTCCTCCCGGGCCATCTCCTGTATTATTGTGTGGCCTCATCTTGGCCACTGACAGGCTGTCAGAACAAACAAAGGGCCACACAACAGAGTACGAGGGAAAGGGAAGTGGAGGTCCGTATGTTGTTTTCGCTGGTCTGTTGTTTACCTTTGGCTCCGACTGCATCCCTCAAAGTGCCTTCAACTGAGAGATAATTCCGCCAAAGTACACCAATTAAAGTTGCATTTTTTCACTCAGAATTTAATATACAAAGTGTATTTACAAACATCAACTAGTATTCCCATGCAAGGTCCAGATTTCTCTGGAAGGTTTTGCAACCTTTGTGTTTTATACCACTGAAAATTACAAACCAATTAAATGTACCTAAAGTTCAATATATTTTTAAGTCATTCGTGGTCATACATAAAAAAAAGATTTAAATTAAAGACAGCTGGAGAAAAATTTTAAATTTTAAAATAAACGGAATCTAAGAATCTTAGAAAAGGGCAAGCTATATTTTTATATCGTATTCTATTTTCCTCCATTTATCTTTTTAAAATAGAAATGCCTCTCAGATAAAGATACAACATAAGATGTAGATACTACTGTGAATTCCTTTAATTAAATTGCCACTCGTGCTCCGTCTTGTTTACAGTTTCAATTTTCCTCTGATTCTTCGGGTTGTTTCCGCACATTTGTTTTGCACGAGTTTTCCTCAACCCTGGGATGCATTTCATTAAATTCAATTTGTATCTATTAAGTTGGCGTTGGCTGGCCTGATGGAAACTGATAAGGTATCATACTGCGACTTGTCGTGATTTGTTTATGTAAATTTTAGCTGCGCAAAAAAGTTTTATTTCATTTAAACGATGATGCGACTTAGTCTTGAGTTTGCGTAAAAATAAAACGCTTTTCCACTTTCTTCCCTCCTCTCATCAAGCGAAAAAGTTTCCTTTTCTCAGGCAAAGCTTTACAGATTATTTTGTTTGTTTTCCATTGCTTTAGCAAGTTGTTGTGCTGATGGTTTCGTTATCAATTTGACCCTCGGAGCTGCTTTGCTTGCTTACATAAATTGAGCAATTAAATGTTGCAAAATATATTCATTGCTGCTAGTCAAGCGTTCAAATGGAAATTTTATTTCCATTAGTTTTTCTTCGATTTTCCCGAGAGGCAAAAGAAAGTGTACAGCGGGGTTGACGGGCATTGAAAATCATTTAATTAACTTGCTGCCTCTCGCTGGCCTTTAGTTTTTGTTATTTGCTGGCGTTATATCACATCCATTTGCCCCTCTCCGCATTTGACTAAGTTAATTCATAGCTCGTTATTGTCTGTATAACCCACCCCCTTCCATTTCCTCCCGCCGTGGGCACATTTAATTGCTGCAATTGATGAGTTCAATTGCGCAAATTATTGCGCTGGCTTTGTGCTACAGTTGAAGCTGTTGCTCCAGTCCTTTTTTCCCCAGATCAATATGAATTTGTGGTGGTCTCGAGGTGGACGCCTGATTGGATTGAAGCCTTGTTTATGTGGCTGCAACAACAGGTGGGAGGCAAACAAAGCCATGCCCGCGGAAGCGTTAATCGAAAATGCCCTTAGAAATCTATAAAATTGCTGAGTTATTGTTGCAGATATTGCATTTAAGTCAATGGTTTAACGGGCTTGTCTTCGTAGCTTGTGAAAATATTTAATGTCAAGTAAATGAAGAGTTTTCCTATGGAAAGGTACAAGTTGAGATTCTAAGGTTGAACTATATTTAAACCAAGTTTTGTCCCATTTCGGTTGCCTCACTTTTGGCTCGGCGAACGGGTTTTCTCCTTGAACTCGAAAAAGTGGAAAACTCGAATTCGGCGCATGCAGGTGTCCCCAATTACAGTGGATTCTCGAAATTGGGACAACGTTAGTTAGCCAGGTTGCTCGTTTGGCTTGCAAATGATGTGCTCCAAAGAGGGAATGAAAGGAGGAAGTGGCAAGAACCACAACAAATGCAGAAACTAGTTGCAGAAGTAGAACTTGTCTAGTT